CACACACACACACACACACACACACAGCAACCACCACCACCACCACCAAAGACAACAAAATAACAGGAATTCCTAGCACTCCAGGAGGCAGAAGCAGGCTGATTTCTGTGAGTTCAAAGTCAGCCTGGTCTACAAAGTGAGTCCAGGACAGCCAGGGCTACACAGAGAAACCCTGTCCCGAAACCCCTTATCCCCCCCCCCAAAAGAAATCATTGGTCATTGATATCTCTCAATATCAATGGTCTTGATTCCCCCCCAAAAGGACACTGATTAATAGAATGAATGTGAAAACAGGATCCCCCCTTCTGCATCCATGAAGCACATGTCAACATCCAGGGTAAACACTACCTTAGGGTAAAGGATTAGAAAAAGATATGGACCTAAGAAGGAAGCTGATGTAGCCATTTTAATATCTAACAAAATAGACTTTAAACCAAAACTAATCAAACATGATGGGGCAGGACAGTATATACTCATCAAAGGAAAAAAAAATCCACCAAGATGACAATGCAATTCTTTACATCTATGCCCCAAACACAAGGGCACCCAAGTTTGTAAAAGAGACATGACTACAGCTTAAACCACATATTGAACCTCACACACTGATAGTGGGAGGCTTCAAACCCAACTCTCACCAACAGACAGGCCATCCAGAGGAAAACTAAACAGAGAAATCCTGGAGCTAACAGACATTATAAACCAAATGGACCTAACAGATATTTATAGAACATTTCATCCAAACACTAAAAAATATACCTTCTTTTCAGCACCTCATGAAACTGTCTCCAAAGCTGACCACATACTTTGTCACAAAGCAAGTCCAACAGATACAAGAATACTGAAATAACTCCCCAAATCATATCAGACCACCATGGATTAATGGTGGATATCAACAACAACAGGAAGCTTACAAATTCACGGACCCTGAACAACACTCTTCTGAATGAAAAATGGGTCAAGACAGAAATAAAGACTTTCAATAATTGAACAAAAATGAATACACAGCATACCCAAACTTACACATGAAAGCAGTGTCATGAGAAAGAAGGTTTATAGCACTAAGTGCCTACATAAAACAAAAACAAAAAATAATAAAATAAACTTGGGGAGGCAGAGGCAGGTGGATCTCTGTGAGCTCAAGGCCAGCCTGGTCTACAAAGCAAGTCCAAGCCAGCTAAGGCTACACAGAGAAGCTGTTTCAAAAAGACAGAAAACAACAACAAAACAACCAAACAAACAAATGGAGAGCTCTCATACTAGCAACTTCACAGCACAGCTGAAAGCTCTAAAACAAAAAGCAAGCACATCTAAGAGGAGCAGATGCCAAGAAACAACCAAACAGAGGGCTGAAATCAACAAAACAAATCGAGAACAAGACCAAGAATCCATGAAACCAAGTGCTGGTTCCCTGAGAAAAATCAACAAGACAGACAAACCCTTAGCCAAACTAACTGAGAGATGGAAACAGTATCCAGATTAACAAAATCAGAAATGAAAAGGGGGGCATAACAACAGACACTGAATTAAGTCCAGAGAATCATAAGGATATACTTTAAGAACCTGTACTCCACCAAACTGGACCGTCTAAACGAAATGGATATTTTTCTCGGTAGATACCATTTACCAATGTCAAATCAAAATAAAAAAAAAAAATTTAAATACACCTATAACTTCTAGTGAAATAGAAGCAGTCAACCAAAAAAAGCCCAGGGCCAGATGGTTTTAGCACAGTTTACCAGACTTCCAAAAAAGAATTAGTATTCCTAAAATTTTCAAACCAGAAACATAAGGAATAGTGCCCAATTTATTTTATGAGGTCACCGTGATACCCAAACCACATAAAGACTCAAGAAAACTACAAGCTAATTTCCCTTATGAACATAGATGCAAAATTTCTCAAAAAAATACTCGTAAACCAAGAACACATCACAAAGATCATCAGCCATGATCAGGTAAGTTTCATCCCAGAGATGCAGGGATGGCTCAATATACGAGAAATCATTAAATGTAATCCACCAAATAAACAAACTGAGAAAAAAACAAAAACAAAAACATGAAAAGGCCTTTGATGAACTCCAACAAGTTCATGATGAAAGTTTTGAAGAGATTGGGGATACAAGGGACATCCTAAACACAATAAAAGTAACAAATATATAGCAAGTCAATAGCCAACATCAAATTCAATGGAAACTCAAAACAACTGCACTAAAATCAGAAACAAGACAAGGCTGTCTATTCTCTCCATATCTATTAAATAAAGTACTTGGCGTTTTAGCTAGATCAGTGATGACAACTGAAGGGGATGCAAACTGGAAAGGAAGAAATGACCTGAAAAATTCCACCGGGGAACTCCTACAACTGATACTTACTTTCAGAGAAGTAGTTGGATATAAGATCAACTCAAAAAAAAAAAAGGAGAGAGCCCTCCTATATACAAATGACAGACTGGGAAAGAAATGAGGGAAGCAATCCTTTCACAATAGCCTCAAATTATATAAAATATCTTGGTGTAACTCTAACCAAGCAAGTGAAAGACCTATATGACAATAACTTCAAGTCTTTGAAGAAAGAAATTGAAGAAGACATCAGAAGATGGAAAGCTCTCCCATGCTCACAGATCGGTAAGATTAACATAGTAGAAATAGCCATCCTACCAACAGCAATCTACAGATTCAATGCAATCCCAATCAAAATACCAACACAATTCCTTACAGACGACCCTCACAAGGAATGTTAGCAGAGTTCCAGGGACGAGTGATGTCATTTGGTGCCCTCATGCCACCATCCACCACTCTAAAAACAAATACACTTCCTCCTGGTTTATAAGACAGAAGTGCAAATACCATCCTTAGCCTTCCAGGCTTGTAATCACCAAATAACCCGAATTCATGATCCTCACTGTCAACTCCTTCCACTTATTCCTGCTGAGACTTCAGCCTCAGGCTTTCAGAAAACCCTGAGGGTCAGCCACTCTGTAGGATAATAAGGTTTGGGGCTTTTGTGACACTGCCTCCCATTTATCACTGGAGTCCCAACACTATAATCCAAAACATACCACTACAACCAATTTATGATTATTAAGTGGTTCATATTTAATTCTATATATAATTAACAAGCTTTTCAAAGTTGGTAATCACTTACCATTGATCTTTTACACTCAAAAAATGAATACTGCAAAGCTCTGCAGTGGCCTTCTTTCAAACACTGTCGTGGGGATTTTCCTTCCTATGAAATACAAAGCAATATGAGGATCTGGGAAATTGCCCCACAAAGCACAGGCCAACTGTTCTTTAAGGAGTTCTTTTTTAAAATAAAAGTTAATTTAAGAAAGTTCTTAATTCCTTCTTCAATAACCTTGGTAGTTAAAGAGAAACAAATGTGAAGATTATCAAGTCATTGAGTACCCCGAATCCCAGTTTTTAATTTAATTCTATGAGTGTGTGCCTGTATGTACAAATGTGTACCATGGAGGTCGGGAGAGGGCACCAGATCTCCTGGAACTGGAGTCAGATGACTGTGCACTGTCATATGGCTGCTGGGACCAAAACCAGGTCCTCAGTAAGAGCAACAGGTGCTCTTCACCACTGAGCCATCTATCTTTCCAGTCCCAGAGCGTGGCATTTTTAGAACACATCATTAAATGTTTGTATGAGCCTTCCTATGGATGAGAACTAAGAATTGGATGCCTTAAAATGAGAGCCTTTTAAGTGCTGGTACTAAACACTGTATGTAAATGGTAATGAGGGCCTAGAAAAATGGCTACGTGAACAGGCACTTGCTGTGAATAAGGGCTCCAGCACCCACAGAAAAAGCTGGGCATGGTGGCAGGAGCCTATAATCCCAGAACTGAGTAGTGGAGACAGGCAGATCTGGCTAGTCTTGTCAGTCATGTTCAGTGACACCTCAATCAAGTGGAGGAACTAGGGAGATGAGTCAGTGGGAAAGAGGGCTTGTTCTTCTGGGGTCAAGATCAGTAGGAGTGCTGCTGATAAAGGTGCTCGAGAAAACCCCGCTGAGGTCCCCCCTGGCAGTTTCAACTTTTCTGGCCTCCCTGGAGCCATAAAACCTTAGTACATCTATAAGAGATGGTTCTGAACCTTCTCCCCACCTCCCTCTCCTCACTTGGCCCGCTGGAACGTAAATTGTTACCATCTGAGTTCATACTTGCTACCCTGAGTTTCTCTGAGCCCCTACACTACCTCGACTGTCTCCCATGGCAACACATAAAATGAAGGCTTTTGTTGACTTCCTCCCAGAATGCAATGCAGTAGGCTTAAAATGGGTTAAAGACAAGCAAGGAGAAACTATGGCACGCCATAAGATTCTTCCACATTCTAGAAGCCAAGAAACCAAAAATCTCCATCACAGATCAAATCGCCATTTGGAGCAGGCACCGACCTCGGCAGCTTCCTTTGGACTGGGAGTCTCTGGTGGCGAGCGCCCAAAACTGAACAGAGTCCTGGCAATAGGGAATCACTTCTTGAACTGAGATGGCTTAATGTTTATACTAAAACCTAAGGTGGGAGATGCCTTAATGATCTCCCATTGGACACTAGAGAGAACTGGGGGTGACAGCTGGAGAGATCTGTCCAAAGTCAGGACTTGGTCCCGCGACCTCCACCCCGGGAGTGACCTCCACGACAGGCCAACATGGAGCCGCTGGCCCTCGCCGATTCTGCCACAGGGACGCGCTACCTGGAGCACACAGGCCGACTGCAGCAGACACGCACCCAGGTCCTCCTTCACGCCCGCGCACGGGCCGCCCTCCGGCTTGTCCTCGTAATACTGGGGCATGGCTGCGCCCGCCGCCCTCACCACACCAGATCGCGGTCTTCTGACGACGGAGGCCGCCCGCAACGGGCGTGAGGCCCGCCCACGGACGGGCTCAAGGGTAGGGGACATCCTCGACGATTTCCGGTAGGCCCGCAACAGGCCCGCGTAGCTCGAGGTTATGCGCGTGCGTAGCGGAAGTGTGTGTCGGTGACGTAAATGCGGGGCGCCGCAAGGGCGGGCTACGTCGCTGTAAGGGAAGTAGCCCCAGCGGAGGCTGGGCTCGGCTCCCGGGCGAAGGTGGCGTCTGTCCTGGGCCCCGGACGAGGCCGCGGCTGCCTTCAAGTGGGGCCTGCTGTGTGCGCGCGGGGTGCCGTTCGTGCTGACGGCCGTTTCCACGGACAGCTCGCGGTGGCGCCTCTGCGGCCGGGCTAGGGAGAGGCCGGCGGCCGGCAGCTCGAGCCCCAGGTCCGCCGTGGAGCTGCTGGGTAAAAGCAAAGACGCCCGTTTACGTTGGATTCGCAGAAACAGAACCGTTTTTGGATTCTAAGCAGGTCTGGAATTCTGCACGGGAGACACACACCCTGAAACCTTGTCGATGCTTGTTCATAGCTCAAATGTCACCGGGCTGTCTGTTTTTAGTCGACAGCGGACCTTGCAGGTTGAGAGAGCTGCGGGGCGGGATGGGGCGCAGCGGGGTGCTGGAACCTGTGGAAAAGGAGGTGGGGCGGCCTCCAGCGCGCGTTTAGTTTCCGACTAGTTGCACTGGACCATCCGCGCTGTTATTCGCCCTGCCCGGGTAGTCTAGGAGTAAAACCACCAATGATTGGCATTTGCTTTGTTTTTATGTCACATTCTGACTAACCGGGAGCTTGCTGGCCATCGCCGATAGACTTGTATGAATAAGCTGTGTGTCTTAGCTTTACAGTAACCTTGCTTTTAGCGTAAACAAGATTTTGTTTTAAATCTTGGTCATTAAAAACATGGAATTTTGAGCCAGCTTTCCAGTCATTGTGCCATGTCTGTCATTTCACACCCCTGTGCTGCTTTTTCCTCATCCTCCACTGTCAGTGGTTAGCTAGTCAAAGGCTTGATTGAGGTGGAGGTTAGGAAGCCATGGACTCGAGATAAATAGTTTCAGGTGGTGCAGAAGAGTGTGGCGCTGCCCTTGGCCGAAGTGCAACTAACACTTGGCCACCCCTAAACACAAAGCCCCAGAACCACCTCCATTGCTTCTGGTTGCGGGAGAAAATGTCACAGCTCTGAAGAGAAGTACTTAGTAGCTGAACAGTTCTTAAGATTACATCTAAGAGAAATGTTTTTATTCCAGGAAGATGCTACCAAGTACTTTGGTGAGTTCTTCAATGCACGGGAACGGAGTCCTGAATTCCAGGGATGCTGCAAGGCACACAGCTGGAGCCAAACGTTACAAGTACCTCAGAAGGCTTTTTCGATTTCGGCAGATGGACTTTGAGTTTGCCGCATGGCAGATGCTCTACCTGTTCACTTCCCCACAGAGGGTTTATAGAAACTTTCATTACCGGAAACAAACAAAGGATCAGTGGGCCAGAGATGACCCCGCTTTCTTGGTCCTCTTAAGTGTCTGGCTCTGTGGTAAGTGTGCATTAGTTCACAAGCAGCATGCTTGGAAAAACGGATTGGGTATTTCAGAGGAAGCTTTATTTGGAGTATCTTTTGTGATAATGTATAATGCATTATAATTTTGGTGTATTTGAAGCTGTGGGGGTTTGCTTGTTTGTTTATTTGTTTCTAAAACCTTAGAAAGCTGGCAAGAAAGAGTGTTTTTCCTCCTAGGTCAGGCTGTAACACGTACTAGGGTAAACTGCTGTATGGGATATTGAGAAGTACAGGACAGGATTCATTCCAGAGCTGTTGTCTCCTTCTATTTGAAACAGCTTCTAGATGTATAGCTGAGGCTGGCCTTGAATTCAAGATCCTTGTATGCCACCACACACTCAACTGACTTTTTTTTTTTTTCCTAATATGATCCAGTACCCACATGTGTGCAAAGAAATGTTAGGGTGGAGAAATTGCATTTCTTAATGAGGCAAATCTGTGTGGCTGGAGGTTGTTGAGTTTTTTTAATTTTGTTTTTTTGTCAGAGGGAAGGGCAGGGGTTAGTAGGACCAGGAAAAGAAACCAGGAACTTACACTACCAAGCAGGTGTTCTACCACAGAGCTGGAAGTAAGGGTTTCAGAGTAAGCGTTCTGGAAGTACTGATTTGAACTTGAGAAAGCAGTTTTAAGTTCTCCAGTACATTAAGGAAAAACTCCAGTCAACAATAGAATATTGCAGGATGTAGGGCTTTTTACGTTGCAAGCCTCTGTACAGGTGTTCTGAGTGCCCTGCGTCATGGTGACCTTCCCATGAAGCCTGTTTCTTTATATGCACTCAAAGGCGGAGTTTATTTCTACATCAGTTGCATGTAACTTGTCTTCAGGGTTCATTGTGTGTACCACCACTACGCTGTGGGCACATGGGTGGGACTATATCTTTACTCTAGAGACCAGCAGTGACTCTCCTACTTCTTTATTTCAGTGTCCACCATAGGATTTGGCTTTGTGCTGGACATGGGATTTTTTGAGACAATAAAGCTGCTCCTGTGGGTTGTATTCATAGATTGTGTAGGTGTTGGTCTTCTGATATCAACTCTAATGTGGTAAGTACCATAATATGTTTTTTTTATGTACTGTTGGGGCTCTGTTTAATTTGAGGGTAGCTAATGGACATTGAAGCCAAGACAGAGTACCTGAAGTGATCAGATTGACTGCCAGGATTATTGTAATTTTCCTCCTGTGTCTGTCCTAGATCAGAAGATACTTTAATGTGTGCTTATTGTCATGGAGGCAAATCCCAGTGTGGCCTCAGCCTGTTTTTTCATGATATTATATGTGATTCTGCCTGGGTCTGGGAAGCTTGTTGTCTCCATTTGTCAGTGGATACCATTTCCAGATGCGCAAGTGCTTTGGCAGTGTTTCGATCCATTGAGATCTAGAGGGGTAGGGTAGCCCTTGGACTTTCACTTTGACTCTTTGGCACTAAGTCAAGTGTGCTTGAAAAGGGTCTGTGTTTAGTGTGGTTCCTTCCTGCTGAGAAAGGACATATAGAGGTCTTCAAAGGCCCTCAGCCTGCTTCTGTCTGGGGTTGAGTGAACAACAGTAGTTGGCAAGTAGACTAGATCTGGTGTTGAGCTTCCCATTTCTCTCATGGGGAATGCTCCTGTGCGATTGGCTTCCTGAGCAAAGGGTAGTGGATGTAACCTTATGTACAGGGTGAGGATTGAGTGGGAAGCAGAGACCATTTTAGGCTGAGACAGAGGCCCACATGCTAGCAGTTTCTGTAGTCTCCTTTATAAACTGAGCTGTTTCATCAGGTGGTTTTCGGGGTAGTGGGATGAGAGGCCCATGGTACCTAGGGGAGGGTCCAGCATATGGTAGCTGTTATTGTTTTAGACAAAAATGCCAAGGCCATAACCTCTGGTGGGACCAGGCTTTTATTCTCCTCTCTAACTTTTGACCAGTACAGTACAGTTTTGTGGGTACTGAATAGTTGATAAACGCTGTTATGTGTCATTAATCTAAGTCTCTAAAACCTGAGCCAAGGTTAATACTACTTATATAAGTCAAATTCTCATTGTGCAGCAGCGTGTGGGAAAATAGGAAAAGCTTCCAAGAACAAGTTGTTGCAGATGTCCGCCATGAGTGCAGTGGTCTGGATGGCCACAGAGCAAGGCCTGGAGGTGATTGCTGTTGGCTTTTTTCTTTCCTGTAGTTTAATCAAGTAGGAAATGGCTCACTGTGCCATTTGTGAGAACACAGGTGTCATGAACTTGTGAGGAGCTGGGAGTAGAAATAATGACATCCCCCCCCCAAAAAAAACATCCCAGAAGTGCCATAGGAACCAACATAAGGCCATGTTTTGGGGTGCTATGAGAGTCTTGATTCCTGTTCCAGAATTTACAGCTGCAGAAGCCTGCTTATGTGCAGTAGCAAGCCAGGTCTGAGGACAGGTAACACTAAATGGCTACAAAGAACTGAGACTAGAAAATGGCTTTGATGGAATTCAGAAAAAGGGGGAAAAAAAAAAGGCTACTATGTTCATGTCTACAAGTGTGGGTTGGAAGGTAGAAGAGAAATGGAGAGTGCGGAGGCCAAGAACAAAAGCACTTCAAATTCACTGTGGAAAAAGTCTTCAGTATGGCAGTGAAGGAAGGGGTAGACGAGGGGAAGCCAGGCACAATCACGGGGCTCACGTGAGAGAAGGGGGTGCGCAGAATGGTGCGGGGAGTATAGGATGAAGAGAGGATGCAGAGCTGCTTATGCTGACAGGAAGTGCTGACAGGGAAGTTGTGGGTTTGAGGACTGCTGGGTGCAGGAGAGGTGGTATGTGTTGGCCCCGCTGAGTCAGGAGCTGGTGGGTGCCTACTGCAGGTGAGCGCAGAGGCAGGGGGACTGCCAGCCCACAGACGGAAGTCTGCCTGAGATGTGGCCGTCGTGGAGTGGGGAGAGACGCCAGTGAGTTGCCTTGGGTTCTCTAGGAACGAATGTCTTGTCCGTGTAAGGGTGTGTACAGGGAAAGCAGGAGGGCAGCGACGACAGAAAAGGGCTTCTGGGGCGTGGACTGCAGGCTCCCTACAATTCCTTTATCGTTCTTGTTAATTTTATGATTTAGGGAGTTCTCAGTATAAGGTAATTAGAGTTTCTGTCTCAAACATTTACAGCTTACTGGTGTTGGGAAGTCATAGCTCTAAGTCCTATTTTATAAGTCCTCTTATAAGATGTCCAGGGCCCCGTGCTGTGAGCATTAGAACTTCTTGTTTCTGTTTTCATAGCCACAGTCCAACCTCCATCACCCCTACTTAGCTTCTGCTGGCCATGATTCCATTTCCTGTTACTTTGAAGCCAGGTTTGTTTGTTTGTTTGTTTGTTTATCTTTCATATATGCCATTTGTGGGTTGGTCATTCTGTCCCTGGCTTTTTTCACTTAATTTTGTAAGATTGCATGGCAGGTTAGTTCAAACAGTGTTTGGTGAGTTCTAGTTTGTCCAAGTGAAACACTATTGTTTTGGCTTTTTGATAACTAAGTATATACTGTTTATTATATTCTGCCAAGCTTTCTTGATTTAGTCTGTTTGTCTTGTTTGTGTGCTTTTTAAAACATGGTCTCAAGCTAAAGTCCAGGCTAGCCTAGTACCAAGTAGCCCAAGCAGCCTTTAAAGTAAAAAATGCCCCGCCTCGACTGCCTGCGAGCTGGAATTAGAGGCAGGCACCACCACAACGTGGCCCTGGTTTCTGCATTTGATATGTAAGATATTAAAGTACAGTAACACTGGCTCAGTAGGTAGACACTTGCCCAGTTTAACCCCCAGGATTCACCTGTGGACCTAACTCCACAAAGCTGCCCTCAGACAGCATGCTTTGGCGCCTGCCCCCGTAAATAAATGTAACAATAAAAGAATCGTTTAAAATCTCGTGACATAAAGGACATTGATTTCCACAGATGTAAGTTGAAGAACGGTGGTGGAAGCGTGCATACACGTCATTCTGTCTGTCTGTACCACTTGCCATCTCTGTTTCCTCCTATTTCTCTCACCTTGTCTGTGACTTTCTGGCATCTGGCTTCATGCCAGATCTCTTACTCCTGCTGGCCTCACCAGCAGCCAATGGCGGTGCATCTTGTTACCTCCACTGCTACTTTAGTGGCAGGCTGTGGTCAATCCTCCTCTGTAGATTGTGCCACAAGGAGACCCTGTCAAAAACCTCAGTCAGACAGACATTTCTTGCATCTTCACGGTGCTTTTTTTTAATGCATAAAAGATAAGCTTGAAGTCACAAAGTAGCCATGGGCACCCTAAGAGCAAGCCCTGCATTTCCATCTGACGTTCTCCCTGCCCTGCTCCTTGCTTCTTACAGGCACATAGCTCCTCAGCTGTGCCAGGCACCATCACTGCCCTGGGTCTTCACCTAGCTGCTGCGATTTAAAATCACACCTAAGGTGTGCAGTCTCCATGCTCGACGTCATAGTCTCACGTCAGACTTCTCCCCTACAGGGGAGGCAGAGACATTGGCCTGTTCCACTGATTGCTCCATCTCTAAGACGTCAGTAACTGTCGCACCCAGAAGGTGGCTGGTACTGAGAACTAGTCTGCCATGCAAGAAGGGTTCATTTTGCTCTGCAGGTTCATCTCCAACAAGTATCTGGTGAAGCGCCAGAGCAGAGACTACGATGTGGAGTGGGGCTACGCCTTCGACGTGCATCTGAACGCCTTTTACCCGCTCCTGGTCATCCTGCATTTTATCCAGCTCTTCTTCATCAACCGTAAGCATTTGTTTCTCAGATAGTCTGAGTTCTTACCGCTCTATCCGTCTGTACCTCTCGTGAATGCTTTTTTTTTTTTTTTTTTTCCTGGCAGATGTTATCCTTACAGATACATTTATTGGATATTTAGTTGGAAATACTTTGTGGTTGATTGCTGTTGGCTATTATATCTACGTAACCTTCCTGGGATACAGTGGTAAGTTTTGGTGTTTGAGAACAGAACAGGGAAGGGTGGAGTGGATTTACAGTGCACTGACAGACTGTCTAAGGTATTCTTACAATTACACAGGTGTGTCGCTTTCAGCGTGCCCACTGTCCAGAAGTAGTGTAGCCCAGGTGCTGTGTAACATTTGTTACAGCTCCTTGACTAGTTTCTGGGGTGGATTCAGGTTCAGTAGCATTAACCAAAGGGTGGAGAGGGGAGGCACCGGGTTACAGGCCCTCAGGTAGTTACATTTCTTCTGAGATGATCCCAGATGAGACCACGTTGGCAAACTTACTGCTAAATCTTGTAGGTTCTGTTTCCTAGTGTGAATGAAGATGGTCTTAGGCTGTTTGTTTAGGAGATGACCTCAGACTGGGAGTGTAGCTCAGTAGAAAACCTGCTAACTGTGTGCAAGGACCTGCTCACACACACACACCCAGCCCCCATTGCTAAGGTTTAGAGAGCTTCAGATTGAGCTCACAGAATGTCCAGAGAGCTTTCAGCTCTTTGCTGCTTCTGATGAGATGACTGGGACCTGACTGTAAACACAAGCAGCTCTTGCCTTCCCCCATGACCAGGCTCCTGGGGAACACTTGACTTTCCAGTTGCCTTCTTTGGGTGAAGGGTTTTCTAGTAAATTTCTTGGATCTTGAAAGTATTGTGATCCATGGCAGCAAGACGCTGCTTCTCTCAGTGGCCTTGTGGATGCCCTGCCGAGGGCTGTTGAGGTTAGCAGTGTCTGTGTGGGAACTGCGTGAGAGAGATGCTTGGGCACTAACTAAGCAGTAACAAGCAGCTCAGTGCCGTAGTTCTCCCCCAGGGGCTGGGGGTTGCTTGATACACCTCAGACTGAGGTGTACTGCTTTCTGGGCCGGAAACACTCAGATGGCTAGAAGAGATTGTGTCCCGTGTGTACCAGTATCTATGGATGAAAATACCATGAGACCCCTTGCATGCTGACTAGACATTTCTGCGGCCTTTGTCTAGATAGCTGTTCATTCAGCCCTCTGCCCTAAATGAGGTGTACATACAGAGCTGCAAGTGACAGCATGGTCCTACGCCAGTGTGCTGAAGATTCAAGAGCCAGCCTTCAGCATGTCCTCTTGTCAGTCATGACTTTGCTTCTTTTCCAGCACTGCCGTTTCTGAAAAATACAGTCATCCTGCTCTATCCATTTGCGCCTCTCACTGTGCTGTACGGGCTGTCGCTGGCGCTGGGCTGGAACTTCACCCACACACTGTGTTCCTTCTACAAGTACAGAGTGAAATGACAGTGGCAGCGTTCTAGCCAAACTGTCTGCTGTTGGGAAGGGACAAGCTCTTGTAAATCTGTAAATATCTTAAAGATGGAACGTTTACGAATTTGAGGTGATCTTAACACTATTGTCTAGACCATTCCTTAAAACTAATTAAATGTACATTTCTAATAAATATTTTTAAACTAAAGCATGTAACTGTTTATTACTTTCACCTGACACTTGTTGGCAAGATGTACAGTCTGGCCCATTTTGAAAGAACATTTACATACACACACAGTCCCCAGGGGCTACTCCCACTTGAAAATTACATATGGCAGTGAATTACCTGAACAGATGACAGCCACTGTCTTACCAGGATGGCATTTTCCCTTTTTAAGGAATGAAGAGGGGAAAAACAGATTAACACCATAGTAATAGTGCTACAAAAATTCCGTGCACTCATTTGGTTTGAGCCATTTTTATTAGAAGGAATCTTGATTCAACATGGCTTTTCAAACTTCTTTATTTCAAATACACATGGACAGTTGTAGCACAGAGACAGTTATGAAAGGCACAGTCGACAGGACATTATTCGGTTTCAATTATAGCAGCAAACTTTAAAATAAATAATCTGCCTTTAAAAATCCAACAGGTACCTCAGTATTACTGCAGCTATTAACTTTTCAGCCATGAAGACACTGTGAGCAAAGTATGTACAGAAGAAAAAAAACCTGGTACAACCTAGCAAAGAGACCCCCCATGCAAAGGCGGCCTTCTGAGAGTGTGCTCCAGCTAAGGAGACTTGAGGCTTAGTGGACTCTTGACTACGCTGAGAAGAACCTGCTGGCAGCACTGGGCCATACTGTCCCAGCAGCCCCTCATAAGGCTCAGAATGCGCTTCGGGTGGTTTTTACACCCTAGCCGAGCATTTCCAGTAAAGAATGGAATACTAAGCAAGCTATAAAGCCTCTACCCTTTCTTTCTGGGGCCAAGGGCCAATGACTAGTTCACCAGTACTTGGAGCAGCTGTAGGAAGCGGCGTCCTCAGCACCCACAGCATTTACCTGTCCCCACAACCAACCAGCGAGGTCTGAACAGCTGGAGTCCTGCTGCCTGCACCCACCTCAGCGGGAGCGGCTCCTGCGCAATGTTGGCCTTCCCTGCTCAGGTCACTGTCTGTCTGCTGCTGTCCACACGGTGTCGTGCTGCTGCTGCCTGCCCTCACACGTGCTTTTGTAGGTCGTGCAAAAACTGGAAAGGGGAGCATTTCAGAAACAAAGCTCATTTAGCTACTGAAGGTACAGGGGCACGGGTAACAAGATCTGTGGTTGGTTTGTTTTTTCTCTTTGTAAAAGACTGGTCATCTTTTTAGCAATTTTATGTTCACATGCATTAAACTGAGCATATAAATGAGCATAGCATAGATCTGTTAAGATTAATCATTTAAATCCGCACAACTATCAAAGTGTAAATTTAACAAGCTATAATTGTTGCTATATAGCTCAGGAATGCCCTTTGTAGAAAATATTGCCCCGGGACTGAAGATCCCTTACTCTATGAAGATGAGGACAACAGAACGCTGTGGGACCTGATGGTGTTTAACCTCCAAATTCCTTCTCTTCAGTTGTTTTCCTTCAAGGCTATGGCAGTATGCTTAAAAAAAAAAAAAAATGAGTGAATAAACGATTTATCAATTAATGGGTTCGAAGCAGAGGTATTGTGGAAAACATCTAAATACAAAACCTTGGTTGGTACATACAGGGTTTGAGCTGTGAACTAGCTGTTGAGCTAGATACTCAACTAAGTGATTAAAAAAAGGATGCCTGTCACAGCCTACGCTCCAGCAGGTATGTTCAGCCTGTGGCCCAGGACAGCAGTGAATGGCACAATGCAAAACTGTAAACTTACTAAAAGCTTCTTAACGTTTTTCATGTAACTGGATTGTGTGGCTCTCGAGAATGACAGCGCCATGCCACACTGTCAGAAGGCTGGACACGCTTGCAGGTGCACATAAAGGCGGGAAGTTCTTTCCAATCTGACCTAAAATACCACTGTTATCCTTTCAAGTACTTCTGGCAGGCCCTTAAGTCAGTAGAATTTAGCCTCATCTAGGAGGAAAAGGTGCCTGTACCTCCACATCCTGACGGGTGTTTTACAGAACAAAAACAAAGCAAGTCTGACTTACAGTCGAGATGGGTTGATAAAAATGTCAACAGCTGGACATGGTGACACCCAACACTTGAGGCAGAACTGGGAGAACAGGCAGTTCAAGGCCAACCTGGAGTGCAAGGGGAGACCCTGTCTTAAAACAAACAAACATGCAGGCAAGCCAGCCTGGAGACTGCTCAGGCCTGCCTGGACTCTTGCTTGTTAGGAAACTGCAGGCCTGGCCTCTTTCAGGACCACCCATCTGTCATGTCACTGCTGTGCATCAGAAGTCTGGCCAGGGCCCCGCTTACAAAGCTGCAGTGAAGGTGCTACGCGCCCATCCAAAGATGTCAGTTTCCAAGCCTGGCCAAGTGTGGCGTGATGCTGTCCTGTGGCAAAAAGGACTGCAGCTGCTAACAGCCTCCCCTCCGTGGGCTGGGCCACCTGCAGCCCTTCCTGGGTGGGCTTCGGCCAGCAGTGCTGTTCAGAATGCTGCTGCCGCCGGAACTTCCACCAGCCTGCCCTGGCTCACAAGATTGGGTCAGTCACCTACAAATCTCCCATTTGTTAGGTAGTAAGACATGATCATAGATCACAGCCACTGTTCTCAAGACACTCCTGCACGCCACAAATGCTCACTACTAACTGGAAGCACCTTCCTGGGCATACTTCTATAGAGCCACACTTTTCCTTGAGGGACAGCACTGTCAAGAACTTCAGTTCCCATGATTATGGAAGACTAAAAAGAATTCTAGTCTCCAACTTTCCCGACAGCTTTTGAAATAAGCAAACCTATTATTTCACTTGTAACCAATGCCTTCAAAAGCCACAGGGACCTTTGTTCAAATACACCCTAATGGATGGACACATATCTAGCCTACAAGCTAAGTCATCCATTTGCATTCACTCTTTCTCATGCTTTTCAATCAGACAGACCTCTAGAGGACACTATTGCAATGCATGCTGGGAAGAATAACACTAACATACAGCCAAGCAATCTTGGCCCTCTCACCAAAACACACACCTTCACCTGCACTACAACGAAGCCACAGATCTGCTTTCAACCACAGCAGCAGGCTGCATTGTTCCTCCTTTCTAGAATGCTCATGTTTATGCCCTGCACCATGCTGACAGCAGAACTGCCCTCCATGAGGAATGTCCCATCCTTCTGGGAGCCAGCATGGTGCCTGCTGAGCATCTGGAAGACTGCTAACATGGGCACACAACTCAACTTTTCACTTCATGTCAATAGATGTGTTTTGTGGCTTCTGCCGAGTCTGGCACTACTCAGAGTCCGGTTTATCTGAAATACCCACCAGATGCCAACCACGACCTATTTTCTAGATACAGTTAGTACTGCACTCGGCACTTTTTTCCATTCACTACTAGCGGGGAAGCAGCCGGCAGCCTCCAAGGTTCCGTGCGTACACCTTGCCGTTCTGAGCACTCTGGCCCCACCTCCTGCACCCCTCACCCTCACCAACCCCTGGCGCTGCCGGGGGCACTTCCTGCTTGGGACAAGCACATCTGCTTCCGATTGCCTGGTGCTGCCCTGGGCACAAGGTGGAGAGCAACCGACACTGCAGGGTCACATGGCCCTGTGCGGTGGAGGACTGCGGGCTGGCCCCCAGGGCTCGCAGCGTGTCAGGCACCAAGCACCACCACTAAGGAAAACGAGGCGCTGAGTATGCGTGCCCACACGTGCCACGAATGGCAGGCAAACAAAGCCAGGAGAGAAACATGAGCAGCCTGGCTAGCTAACTGGCTCAACCAGATGCCAAGTGTTGAAGGAAATGAGAGGGAAATTTACAAAACACCAAGAAAAACTTCAGCTGGGTTTTGACTTTCGGCACAGTAGTGTTTTTCTACGGTTTCCCAGTCAGAACATGCAAAATGGCTGTTGAGTGCTTGCTGTGTGTCCCACAGGCTGGGGCCATGGCTAGGCCTGCCCACAGCCCCAGGCCTCCACATCCGCTGACCATGCAGCCCCTGGATAGCCAGACAAGGCTGGCAACTCCTGTGGGAGTGAAAGCACTTTCGCCGACTGGTGCTAAGTGGCCCTGCCGCTGAGCCGGCGTGAGCACTCTGTGGACACGTTTACCTCCAAGCGCGTGACGGCGGAGCAAGCCATTCTGTGCAAGCAGACAAGCCCTGCTGTGGTCCTTCCCCGGAGCCCCGCATTACAGTTTCAGTTGTAAAATTATACCATCATGATTCACACAACAGCATTACCTAGAAAACACTGAACTCCAAAACCTAACAACAGTGAGAAGGGAGACAACGTGTTAACTACTGATTAAAGACAGATTAAAAAGGAAAGGAGTCTCATCCCCACACAGAGGAAACCCGAAGGGCTCTGTGTGGAGACGCGGGCAGGGGCCTCCCACCTGGACTCTTGACGGTCACACTGGTTTTCTGTGGCTACACACCATACACAGTACAGTAAAGCAACCCTCAAGAGGACATTGGTCTTTTCAAATCTTGGCTTTAGGATTGACAAATGCCTCTGAAAATATTTTGTTCAGAATTGCTGTGATTATAAAAGTACTTCAAGTTAAGAAACCCATCTCGAACCAATCTGTAATGGCAGTGCACTGGAAAAATGGTGTTGGCCTATAATGTCTGCACCTCCAAATAAAGACCTAGAAAGAGCTTAAACAGCCAGGGAAACGCTTCTTCAAAAACAGGTATTGATCCAAAACTTTACTGCACAAAAATATGTACTTCTTAAGTGTTTCTAATAAATTAACTCCATAACATCTTTATGTGTATTTATATATTTATATATATATATATATATATAATATCCCTGATCGTCTATAAAAGAGGGTCTATAATAGTAAAATAAATGAACTTCAAAAGTACCCCCTTCACAAAATGTATTTAACATTAGTTTTCTCAAATTTTAAGGAATGTAACAATATGTACAACTCTTGTGTATTAGTATAATACCAAAATAGTCCCAGTCACGCTAACAGGCTGTCCAAATTGTAAAATGCTTGTGTCAAGTTCAAATTGGAGGACAGCCTAGTTTCAAATGAATCAGTTATCCATGGGAGG